AATTTAACTTTATAATAAATCATAAAAACATCATAATAAGGCTTAAAAACTTCATGGTAAAATAAGGCATGAAAATGTTATATATAGTTCGTCATAAAAACGTAACAAAAAAAGCAATAATACAGAAAGTCATGAAAACGTCAAAAAAAGTCATAGTATAGTAAGACATAAAAAAAAAAATGCAAAGTATAGTAAGTCATGAAAACGTCAATAAAACTTCATAGTATAGTAAGACATGAAAACGTCAAAAAAAAGTCATAGTATATTAAGTCATGAAGACGTCAAAAAAGGTCATAGTATAGTAAGAGATGAAAAAAGTCAAAAAAACGTCATAGTATAGTAAGTCATGAAAACGTCAAAAAAAAGTCATAGTATAGTAAAAGATGAAAAAAGTCAAAAAAACGTCATAGTATAGTAAGACATGAAAAAAGTAAAAAAAAACGTGATACTATAGTAAGACATGAAAAAAGTGAAAAAAAACGTCATAGTATAGTAAGACATGAAAAAAGTATAAAAAAAGATCATAGTATAGTAAGACATGAAAAAAGTATAAAAAAAGATCTTAGTATAGTAAGACATGAAAAAAGTGAAAAAAAACGTCATAGTATAGTGAGTCATGAAAAAAGTCAAAATAATGTCATACTATAGTAAGACATGAAAAAAGTTAAAAAAAGTTATAGTATAATAAGTCATGAAGACGTCAAAAAACGTCATAGTATAGTAAGACATGAAAAAAGTCAAAAAAACATCACAGTACAGTAATACTTGAAAACGTCAAAAAAGATCATATTATAGTAAGACATGAAAACGTCAAAAAAGTCATAGTATATTAAGTCATGAAGACGTCAAAAAACGTCATAGTATATTAAGTCTTGAAGACGTCAAAAAAATGTCATAGTATAGTAAGAGATGAAAACATCAAAATAGGTCATAGTATAGTAAGACATGAAAAAAGTAAAAAAAACGTCATAGTATAGTAAGACATGAAAAAAGTGAAAAAAAACGTCATAGTATAGTAAGACATGAAAAAAGTATAAAAAAAGATCATAGTATAGTAAGACATGAAAAAAGTTAAAAAAAGTTATAGTATAATAAGTCATGAAAACGTCAAAAAACGTCATAGTATAGTAAGACAAGAAAAAAGTAAAAAAAAACGTCATACTATAGTAAGACATGAAAAACGTCAAAAAAAGTCATACTATAGTAAGACATGAAAAAGTGAAAAAAAACGTCATAGTATAGTAAGACATGAAAACGTCCAAAAAACGTCATAGTATAGT